TTCACGTATTTTTTTTTTTTTTTAGCTGAGCCATCCTGTCACCAGTTGACAGTTCAGCGGCTGCTCAGCTCAGGCCAGGACTCGAACCACTGTTGTTCAGAGCTCAAACTCTTGAGCGAGCTCTTAACCAACTGAGCCACTTGGCTGGCCCCCTTTTCACATATTTTTAACACATCATCTAAGTATAATGGTCATTAACTTACTACAATACATATTTTTACCCCTAAAATTGTTCTAGGTATACTTTAGAAATTATTCTTCCACCAGTTCTAGGAGTTAATTCTTTTTTTCAAATCTATCTCAATCCTGAGTTAATCTGGGATACGGAGATGTCATGTGGTGCTGAAAGTCCCTTGCAGGTAGGATGCAGAGATGTCTTGATGTCTGTGCCTGCTTAGTGCCCTTTATTTAAGGTATTTATTAGCACAGTTCATACTGAATAAATACTGGGATTCAGACTAGCAATTTAATGTTCAAAGGCCTTTACCAATTTTCACAATTATGTGTCCTTCTCTTTGTAATGAAAAATATAGGACAGCATAAGACCAGTGGACAATGGCATTTTATGGACAAAAGAGAATATCCACTTTGCAACAAGCACGGTGACCATAATTTTAAAGTTTGCATGTGCAAGAATTGATGATGTTTTGAGTAAACTTGGTGCGTAATGTCAGTTAGCCCCCAAAGCAGTTGCTGAGCATAGAATTATACAGTATCTTTCATTTTAGTTCAGGGAGTCAGAAACATTCCGCGATCGTAGTTTCCACCCTTGAAGGGCTCTGATTTAATAACGCGAAATGACCCACATTTAACACATCATGGCTCTTCTCTCTTCCTTTAAAGCAAAACAAAAGCTGAAAAATGAAAAATCAAAACTCATTTCTTCTGCTTTGGGATGAGTGCTACTGTCACTGCTTCTCCTCCCACCAGTCAGCCCCACCCATGAGACCCAGCTGGCAGCCCACAGCACGTGACAATGTCTCATGTTACTCATTTCCACAATAGTTCTGGAGGCCATCAGTCCTCTCTCAACTTCTCATTTCTACAAGTTCATGTGGGATGGGTGTAGTGACAGGAACACTTGACTGAAGGTCAGTCAGGAGAATTGAATTTGGGGTTCTGATGGACTGGATGTGGAGTATGTAAGAAAGAAAGGAGTCTAGGATTATTAGTCCAAGGTTCCTGGCTGGAGGAATTGAAAGAAGACAGGGAAATGCTGAGAGAAGAGCCAACTGAGTGTTGAGGAAAATCAGTAATTCATCTCATACATATTAAGTGTGAGATGCCTATGAACCACCCACGTGACACGTATGAATTTGTTGACAGCTGGATATGCATGTCTTTAGTTCAGTGAAACAAAACAGGGATAGCATTTTACACCTCAGGGTTATCAGCATTGGCTGACATTTTCAGTCATGAGACAGGCTGAGGTCATCTCAGGAGTGAGTGTGGAGGGGAGACGAGAGGTCAGGGATAGAGGAGGGTACTGCTGGCCCTCCTTAAAGATGACGGCAGTGACCATCTGTGTCAAATGCTGCTGATAGGACAGGTCAAGCCAAGCCTAAGAATTAACCTCAGACTTGGCAATGTGGAGTTGTGGTTACCTCAGCAAGGGCAGTTCCAGTGCTTAAGAGCTGCTGGGTGGCTTCTGAAGCCAGGCCTGTGCAGCATTAACTACCGTGCCACTGGTCCCCCACCTCTGCACCCAAGTGCCCAAATTGCCTCCTTTGGCCTAAATTCCCTCCATCTCTTACCACTCAGCTCATGGGCTCCCTCCATCATGGAGTCTTCCTAATTCCTCTAGTCAAATTTAACTCCAAGCATTGAGCTTATTTTAGAATTATTCATTGGTGACTACAAATGGATGAGTTCTTGGATTAACAGAAATACGCTATGTGAACCTACAGAGAATAAGACAAGATGCTAAACAAAAGTGTGGTGTTATTACCGTCACTATTAAGGCTGCACAAAAATCTGTAAACAAGACCATCCCAAAAGAGTAATCTGTGAGCACAGTCCCAGGTGCTGTGTGGTGTGCAGGGCTGAGAAAGGAGCGGTGCAGTAGTGCTGGATGCCGAAAACAGACTTGATTGTGGTTTTAAAGATCTGGGCTCGGACTGGCTCTGCCACTGAGTGGTGTGACCTTGGGGAAAGCACTCCAAACTTCTGGGACATCATTTCTTCAGCTTTGAAATGAACAGATTGTATCACATCTGTTTCAAGATCCCTTTACCCACCTCGATTCATTCTCAGATTAGAAACTAATGAGTGGTATTAAAAGTGGCTTGTGCCCTTCCCCTCTACTTAAACTACAAAATTTCAAAGGACAGGTCTTATACTTCTTTGCATCAAGTGCAGGGTCCTGGGAGATGCACAATATATATTTTTTTTTATTTAAAAGATCATAAGAGATAAACCCTCTTTGGTCTGTGAAGTGGACTCTGGCCCATGCTCAGTGATCTCCGTCTAACCTGCCATGCCTATCTCTTCAGTCATTCAATCACTCCTTTGTTCATGTACTCAGGAGTTGCTACTGGGGGCATTATTCCCTAGAATGGGTCGGCAAACTGCAGCTCGCAAGCCACGTGCAGCTCTTTGGGTACGTAGATGTGGCTCTGAAGTAAAATTGAAAATGAAAATAAAACTATCATAGTTTCATTTATAAAATGTTTAAAGTACATTATTCATATAACAGTGATTTCATTTGTTTTATGGCTCTCGAATCAGTTTTAAATTGTTGTGAGGGACAGGATTGGCTCTTCCGTCTCAAAAGTTTGCCGACCTCTGCCCTAGAACTATGAAGGGTTATGATTCAGCTCTGTCTCTAATTTTGTGCCTCTTGACCCTGCTGGCTTAGAGTTGAGGAACTCAAGACACATGGTCTAAAACACAAGCCAGAATACTGGAGCAGGATTGTTTTGGATAACCAAGCCCATGAAACTAGGGCACTTATGGAAAGTAATAGGTTTTATCAGATTATGGAGATTCTTGCATGTCAAGCTCATAATTTGTGGATCCACCATGTCCACAGTGTCCTAGAGGGGCTAGAGAGCGACAGAAAACGGAAGAAGCAGTGCACACAGGTGGTGGCGAGGGCCTGAACTAGGAAAGACAAGAGCTGAGGCCACTGCCTGCAAGCCTGTCCTTTAATGGTAACTTTGTTAGGGACAGTCCTTCAGACACTGAGTCAACACCTACTCTGCTTCAGGTGGCTAGTGTATGTTACAGATGTTCCCTGCATGCTGGGAGCATGGAAAGTATCAGGCAGAAGGTGGGGGTGTGGGGGTTGGGACAGAGATGGAGACAGCAAGTACACATCTAAACACAGTGTGGTAAGTGCTGGTCGGGGGTTTAAACAGGGTGCTAATGGGGATTGGGCCAGCACCGAGGAATCCACATTTGAATTGGGTGTGCCAGGTTTCTTCTTTTCGCGTCTCCAGATCCACTCTCCACCCTTCTCCGCTTTGCTCTCTGAATAGGCCTCCAGGAGGCTGACCTGTATGGACCACATTAATGGATTTCCTTGTCCTTGGCTACATGTCAGAGGGAAGCAGGAGAGTGAGGCTAGAGTACTGATTCCCTTCACTCTCAGGAGGTTAAGCTTGGGTTAGTTGTATTTCTCAACCAAGAGCCACTGCTCCTCTCAAGGTGGTCTATTTAAAAGGCTCTCTCGTTTTGGGTTCTGGTTACTCTTCTCCTCCTAGGCCTGATGCATAACCACTCTGCTATTATGATCCCCTGTGGTTCCCCTATACCCCTGCCAAATGTTTTGATTGTACCTCCCTTTCTTACTGGGACTCTCATGGATACAAGGGCCTTTGATATAAGAATTTGCAATTCTTTGGGACTGTATTCCCTAGTAAACTGTGAGCTCTTCCATGAGGAATCATGTTTTGTTAATCTTAGCTCTCTCGCCCCACCTACACTCTCTGAGTGTCCATTTATAGTGGTTGTTTATTAATTATTTGTTAAAAGATGTTACTTTCTCGTCAGCCACAGCCATTCCTTTGACCCCAGGGGGTCATGCTTGGCTTGGTCAGAAGGTATTCCCCTCTCAGTTCAGGCCCCAGGCAGGGACTACCCAGGATGGGGCCCACAGTTCCATGTTCTCCCTTCACTTTCTGGCTGTTCTCACCGCACTATTTCTCAATCAAGATTCCAAATGCTCCCACTAGGACCTTTCCCTGTTCAGCGTCCTAAAATTTACAGTCTCCACGTCAATGTCAGATACACGTGACCCCAGGAAAAACCCTAAATCTCTCTCCATCATAATTTCTGAGGTTGCAAAATTAAGATTAAAAATAATTCTAACTTCACAGGGTTCCTGGGAGAATACAAATAAATGCGATGTCCTGTAAAATTTATTGTCTTTCCCATGAAACATATCAGTGACTATAAAGAACAAACAAGTTCTCCACACCTCCACCCTACTTTTTTGGACTGGTTCCCATGGTTTCCATAAGCATTTTGTTAAAACACTGAGCAAAATTATAATAACAACTGACATCTCCTGAGTACTTACTCCCTGCCAGGAACTGTTATAAGCACTTTCTATATCATTTCATTTAATCTCCACAAGAACCATATGTGATAGAATCTTTTTTATTCCCATTTAACAGATGAGGAAGACTAAGGGCATAAAGAGATGAAGCAACGTGCCCAAGGTCAGAAGCCAGAATTGAAACCTAGGAAGCTTGATTAAAAGCCATGCTCTTAATCCCTTCACTTACAGAGTCTCATTTGTTTACATTCCCTGTGACAAGTCATAAAGGTGGCAATTGGCCACAATTAATGAGAAAATAAAATAATTAATGTGGAAATTACTAAGTGTCTAAAAAAATAAAGTTTGCAATCTTGTGGAAATTCTTGTGAATTATACTTCAGCTCAGGTGTTATGCTCCACAATTCAAACTTAACGAATGGTGTTTGGTTAACTGAACGGCATTCTCAACATCTCAGTGTAGTCAAGAATGCGAGCGGTGTTCCAGACTGAGACTCACCTGAACTGAGCGCGTGCTCCACTTCCTGCATGATCACTCGGGGGGAGGTGGTGGTGGTCTCCATGTCCACCAGAACACAGGTCACTTTGGCTGGCAAAGTTGTTTGGGGCGTTGTCTCCATGGGCACCAGCTCCGTCGCGGCATGTGAAGTGGGGGTGTGGCCAGAGCTGTGCTCCTCTGCTGGGGACTCTGGTGTGGTTGGGGCTGCTGTGGGCTTGGTGGTGGTCTCAGTGGAGCTGTGGTTGGTGCTGATGGAGGTAGAAGAAACGTCTGCTGGTGAGGTTGGTAGGGGTGAGGGCGATGAGGCTGGAGTCTGGGGGGAGGTGACTGCAGGAGACTCAGCAGGGGACTGCGACCCTGTAGCTGGCACACTTGCCTCGGGAGTGCCCGAGCTGTGTTCTGTGGGTGTGGGTGTTAAGTGGACCTCACTGTTTGTTGATAAGGGGTCTGTGTTTGTGCCTTCCCAAGTCGAAGTTGGGCTGGTGGTCTCCTGTCCTCTGGGCTGTTTACTGGGCTCTATGGAAACGTTCTTGGGGAGTAGAGATGTCTGCACCGATGGCACTGTAACTGGGACTGCTGAGCTGCTGGGTGTTCCACTGGTAGGGGAGGCAGGAGGGCTTTGTGGGGAGCTCGTCCAGATGGTCATTGTTGGGGTAGTCTTTGCCGGAAGAGAAACAGGCAAGAGGGTTGATGTAGGCACGCTCTGTACCCTCAGTCCTGTGGAAGAGCCGGTACAAAAGTAGTTAATGTGTGAAAACCTGAGAGGCAAGGCTGTCTTATGGCACTTTTACAGATCTTTCTCATTTTGCACTGTGCCTACCCAATTGTGAAGGTGACTTTTAAATATTTTCTTCCCACGAATTGCTCTCCCCTCTCTTTGTGGCTATCAGTAGGAACCAGCCTGAAGGCTCAGTAAGAACAATTAGTGGGTCAGTCAGTCAACACAAGTCCAGCCAATCCATGGAACTAACCGATCTTGTCTGCTTGCTTAAAACCATGCCCTTAAAAAGTGACTCTCTGGGGGACTGACTTTATGGGAATTTGTTTGGACTGCTGAGGGCCCTGCTCCACATGCCTGTGGGAATGCCCAGGGTGGAGTGTTGGGAGTGGGGAAGGCATGCTTGAGGAGTGGAAAGCTGGAGGAGCTTACTGATTGGCTGTTCCCTGTCAGAGGAGCTCCCTGATGGGCTGTTCCCTGCCCAGGGTTGTGAGCTCTGTGTTTACACACAGGGATGCAAGAGCCATGGGCTTGCTGGCTGGGATGCTGAAGAGGAAAGGTGAGAGGTTCCAGAAGAGAAACTGAAAAAAGGATCTGAGGTTTGGGTATATTTTCTGAGACTGGAAGCCAGTTCTTCCAAATTCTAGCCCAAGGTCTTTAAGATCATATCATTTTGCAAAATGTTCTTCATACTTTGTAAAATTTCAAAATTAGTTTTCTTTCTTCCTTCCTCTCTCCCTCCATTTACCCATTAGTGTCATTAATTAATTAATTAATTAATTAATTAAAGAATTTAATGAATGGCTTCTATCTGGTGGCATTCTGCTAGATGTTGGGTTTATGATTTCATTTTATATAAAACATCTTTTGGTTCCCTCCCTATGTCCCTTACCATCCCACAACTAGCTTTTCCCCTAGTCATCTCCATCTTGGTAGCTGACACCCCCTTTTACTCTGTTGCTCAGTTAAAACGTGAGACATCACCCCTCACACCCCACATCAAATCCATCAGTGAATCATCATGACTCTACCTTGAAAATATATCCCAATCCAACCATTTTTCATGACCTCCCCATTATCTCAACATCACCTGAACCACCATTCACTTGCCTAGACAACTGCCATGGTCTCTTAATCAGTCTTCCGGCTTCTGGGTTTCCTCCCTTTCACTCTACTTTTCACATAGCAGCCACTGTGATCCTTTACATTGGTAAACTAGATCATGTTCTTTAACTGATCAAAATTCTCCAAAGGCGTTCTGTTGCACTTAGAACAAAATCCCAAAGTAATCCCCTATGTCGTCCTATGTTCTCCTCATTGTTCCGGTTGGTCTCTCTTTACTCAAATGTCACCTCTTCCTCAGAGGAGCCTTCCCAGATCATCCGAATCACTCCTGCTACAGCCCCTTGCTTATTTTTTAAAAGAATTAAATTTTTTAAACTGTTAAAATACACATAACATAACATTGCCATTTTAGCCATTTTAAATGTACAGTTCAGTGGTATTAAGTACATTCACATTATTGTTCAACCATCACCATCACCTTTTGTTACTGGCTTATTTCACTTAGTATAATGTCTTCAAGGTTCATCGATGTAATTAACATGTGTCAGAATTTCCTTCCTTTTTAAGGTTAATAATATTCCATTGTATGTATAGACCACATCTTGTTTATCCATTCATTCATTAATGGACTTTGATGGGTTGTTTCCACCTTTTGGCCACTGTGAATAATACTGTTACGAATCTGAGTGTACAAATATCAGTTTGAGACCCTGCTTTCAATTCTTTTGAGTATATACCCAGAAGTGAAAGTTGTGGATCATACGGTAATTCTAGGTTTCATTTTTTTAGGAACTGCCATACTCTTTGCTCATTTTTGTTTTTGATAAAATGAAGTAGTTTGTACCTGAAATTACATATTATTCATTTAGCTATTTATTATCTGTCTCTTCTACCGGAGTATAAGCTCCATAGGGTGCAGGGACTGGTTCTTACTGCTGTTTCCCCCAACCATAGGACAGTGCCTAGCTTATAGTAAGTGCTCAATAAGTACTTGTGGAAAGAAAAAAGGAAGGACAGGAGGAAAAAATAAATTAACTTAAGGACTTTATTACAATATACTCCAGAATCTCTCTAGCTTCTTCTACATACCACTTAGTATGGCAACATCCATCATACTGCCTCAGAGATGGCTGTCTACCTGCTGTTGTACGAGGTCAGGAACCTTGCTTAAAAAGTCAACCTCACTCCCTATGCCTTCTGTCTTGTTAGGTCTTTTACTATTTAACCCCCATATGCTGAGGAGATTTCCTTGGTGGTAGCATAGAAGTAATGGCCAACCACGATCAAGATTCATAAGGAATAAAACATGGACTAAATTCCAGCACAGAGGAAGGGAGAAATGATGTATGAGGGGCATTCAGGCACTTGGGATAAAACTGCTTACTTCTTCATTCTGCCTCACAATAGATTTTGTAGCGGATGAAAGGCTCTGCTCCAGAATCTATCCTGAAAACATAGTTTTCTCATTATTTAACTAAATTTAACATTTGGATTGTTATCAAAATAATTGGTTTTATTTTATTTAAAAGGAGTTGGTCAAGATTATAAACTACCAGAGAGTTACTCTCTAGTAAACATGTGGGTGGACCTCCCAAATAGTCCACGAAGCTATGATGGACTTTTGGCAGCTGAGAAGTGTCAACAGTTTCAGGATGAAGACAGATCAAAAGATCTTTGAAATATGGGCAAAACAACAGTTAGGACAAATATTATTAAAACACTGAATCTTCATATGTGACCTTTGGAGTTTACTGGCTCTGCATTCTGGTAGCTCCCATGGCTCATTTAAGATTCTGAGGACAAAAAAACAAAAATGACAATGTTTACTACTATTCATAGTATCATATAATATTGGGTTGTTGGAAAAGTCATGACATATTTTTTCCATTTTTTTGTTGCAAAAATGCGTCATGACTTTTCTGACAACCCAATAGTTGGGCAGACGGAGGGAGAGAGAAGTAGCTGAATCAGAATCTTTGGAACCCTTGGATGAATGAGAAATGAGTCCTTCCTTCCTTCCTTCATTCATTCATTCATTCATTCATTCATGCATACTTCTATTGAGCATTCATTCATTGCTTTTATTGAGTAGCTTTTATGCCCATGGCCTTGTACTCAGAGAGTTCGCTATCTAGCAGGACAGAAAGGACACCTAACTTCCTGTAATACAATATGATAAATGCCTTATGGAAGTAAAAGCAAGTTGCAATGGGAGCCCTGAGGAAAGATGAATACATTCTGAATGGGGATAATGGAATGTAAAAATAAACAAATGTCATTTTCAAATGATATTTAGAAAAACCACATAACAGAAGATATTTGAGTTGGTTTTGAAAGGATGAGAACACACGAATTGCCACTTAAGGGATATAATGTTCAGGGTGACACCTGCATTGTCATTTCCAGTACAGCTAAAAGCTGTACCATGGATTCATTATAGTGCTAAAAACGACAAGCTCCAGGGATTGGTTTTGTTGCAGAAGACATCCATTTTCTTGTTTAATTCTAATGTGCTTTTATAACTCCTACCCTTCCTACTCTAAAGGGGACCGAAAGTGGTCATTTATTTCCATGGCTATTTACTGAGTACTTATTTAAGGCACTTTATAGTCTATTTCAGGCAATTCCTACTCCTAACAAAACAACAGTGCATTAAACTGTGTAACAACACTGGTTATCTTCACTTGAACAATTAACATTAAACCTTAATGTTTAATTGAACATTAAGAACATAAAAGCCTCTACTTTGCCTTACTTAATCGTATGGTATATTCCACATTGCTCTCGCTGCATGAGGATGGGTCTTCTTTTAGCATGAAAATATCCAAGGCTCAGGCACCATGATTATCCTAGAAAATGCTTGCTGTCCTAGTTAGCTCAGGCTGCCAGAACAAAATACCATAGACTGGGTGGCTTTAACGAAAGAAATTTACTTCTCACAGTTTGGAGGCTGGAAGTCCAAGCAAGGTGTGGGCCAATTCAGTTTCTAGTGAGTGCCCCCTTCCCAGCTTGTAGGTGGCGGCCTTTTAGCTGTGTCCTCATGCGGCCTTTCCTTGTGTGTGCTTGTGGAGGGAGGGAGGAAGGAAAGGAGGGTGGCTCTTCTCATAATGACACGAATGCCATCTTGAAAGCCCACCCTCATGACCCCATCTAACGCCAATTAATTCCCCAAAGTCCCATCTCCAAATGCCATCACATTGGAGATTAGGGCACGAACATTCAGAATCACTGAGGAAATGCCATTTCTGCCTTCTTATATGTACGTGTAGGACTTGTGTTTCTACAGGAATACCAAACTGAGTAAGTCAAACAGCTCAGGATGTATATACTTCTTCAGGATTACAAAAAACGTTTTTTTTTTAGAGCTAGAGAGAGCCTAAGATATGAGCAAGTCCAGCCCCTCATTGGTTAAATGAGGAAACAGACATAGAGAGGGGAAGTGATGTGATTGAACTTGCACATTGAAGAGGGAGAGTTGGGCATTGTGGTCTAGAAAGACTTGTGTAGGGACAGAGCCAGAACTAGAACTCCCACCCCCTGACCCCACACTGTGCCCAGGCCTCCAAGAAGCTGGGAGAACATACTGTAGCAACTATCATTCCAGAGAAACAAGGAGGAGCCCGTGTGAACCTGGGCCACTGAAGAAGTTAACATAACGTAATGCCCCATACATCTTGCCACCTAAAGGAGAGCCATTTTTCTTTGAAGAAAAGAATTAGTTCTAATCTTTCCTTGAGAAAATAGCAGAGGAAGTAGGATGAAGAAATTGAACACATTAATCTCTAAATTAGAGGTGAATGAGCATTGTTCCAAAACAGTGACATTGTCAGATGGGGTGTTCTCTGCATGGCAGTGAAAGGCCCACACACCTGAAATGGATTGACTCCAGGAAGGAACTGTCTTAGAGTTGGCCCAAAGGAGATGTCTAGGGGTA